CAGCTCGCCTGCCTGCAGTGGCTGCTGTCGCAGGGTGGCTGCAGAGTGCAGGTGGGTCCGCGCGGTTCGCCAGGGGCGCTGCGGCTTCCTCCTACGGAGAGGGTCCTGGCCCAGAGTCCCCCGGGGCTCAAGAATGGGTGGGGTTTGGCACCTCCTGGCCCAGCTGAGCCCTGCACGGAGCTCCTTCCAGAGGCCCTCAGGTGAGTGGGCTCCCTGACTTGCCAGTACGCGGGCAGATGCCCTGGCGAGCCTGGGGCCTCCCTGGAAGCGCACCTGGGTGATGGGAGCCAGAAGGGAGGGGTCTCCGTGGGGCTGGTGCTTACTAGTATGTACCGGGAGAAACAAAGCACTGATCCTGTAGTCCTGGGAGTGGGTGGGGACATGAGGCCTGGGCAGCAGAGTCAGACGCCCATGCCCTCCAGGACCGGATCTGAAAGGAGGCTGGGCAAAGTCCCACAGCCCACCCCAGGCTGAGATACAGGTGTCCCAGCCAGGATGTGGGGGAAGGGTGATGGGCTGTGGTAGACGGTGGTCTGCCCATAACCCAGGCTGACCCCAGGACATCAGTGCTGTCAAGGCTCCCAGTTGTCAGCTGCTTCTCCAACCCAGGCTGATTCTTGCTGCCTCCAGACCCCACCTGGTCACTCTGAGCAGTGACCTCCAAGGGCAGTCCTGGCTGCTGAGAAGCAGGTAGCCAGCCAGGCAGCGGTGGGACAGTTCCAGGCACAGGGAACAAGAAGTGCAGATCCCTGAGGCGTGCATGCTCCTGTCCTGTTGGAGGGCCAGCCGCAGGCAGCGTGTTCAGAGTGGGTGAGGAGGGGCAAAGCTGCCAGGGCCAGGCCAGACAGTATCGTAGCCAAGGTTAGGGATTTGGATGAAATTCTGGTTGAGGGGGTAGCCACAGGAGGGAGGAACCAGAACTAATTTTCCACTTAGACCACCGGGTGACCTGGAGATGGAAGGAGAGGAGTCAGGGTAACTCTAAACCGGCTTACTATGCCCCAAAGATCGCCAGGCCACCCCCACCTTCTGCCCTCAGATAGCAGGCCCCCCTTCCCACCCTTCTTGGGAGATGGCCCACCTGGTATCTCTCAGTGGGCCTCATTACCAGGGCTTCCTGGTCACGTGGCCCATGGCCACTCTTTTGCGCGGTGGCATGCCTCCCTGATCCAGTGTCCAGCCCTGGCCAGTGCAGAGGAACTGGGAGGAACAGGTGGCCTTGGGCCCAGCTTATCAGGTCTCCTGCCCTCTGGGCCGGGCAGGCTTGGGTGCGGGGGGAGAAAGTGTGTGGGGGATGACCTGGATCCTTGGGCTTGCCCAGCCCAGAGAGATAAGCTGCTTTAGGGTGTGGTCCACCGTACATGAGGCTCCTGGGGCCTGGACAGCTGGACAGCCTGGACAGGCACAGGCCAGAGCCCAGAGGTCTGTGGCCCTCTCCTTACAGTTTTCACCACTGACAGGCCCAGAGCCAGTGGGACCCCTGGAGCCTCAGACCCACAGTCCCCAAGGCCAGTAGGAAGGGAGCGCCTTTCTCAGGAGCTGGGGCTCAGGTCACATTTCACCATGGTTCTGCCCGGGTGCCTGCTAGCCAGCCCCGACCTTCGGGCTCAGAGGGGACACACTGAACCACTCTCTGGTCCCCCCACTCTCAGCTTTCTAGCACACAGGAGGGGCCTCGGTGTTGCCCTCAGCTTCCTGTGGGCCATGACATTCTCTGCCCCGTCTTCCTGCCTCCTTAGCAGGACCGCCAGGCCATTGCCCCCACCCTGCAGGCTGCCTGAAGACCCTACCAGTGGCCCCAGGGACCCCAGCTCCCTCCGTGACCTCTTTTCCTTGCATTTCTCGCAGGAGCCTCAGAGCTTCTCTTCCCACTGTGATTCGGCTTCCTGAGGCCTGGGGTCTCTCGCCAGCTCCTGCTGCCTCTGCCAGTCTGTAACCACAGTGCCCTGTCTCTGGGCAAGGCGGGGCAGAGAGGCTTTGCTTCCTGATCCTAGTGAAGTTCGCGCACTGCCTCCTGCAGCCGCGGCCTTGCCTACCCCTCTGTCGTCCTATGTGCTTGGTGCTGGGAGGTTGTTCTGTTCCCAAACCAGTGCCCACTCTGCCAAGTGCAGCAGCCTCTGTGTCTAGATGTTCCTGGGGATTCTCCTCCCAGCACAGGTCCCGTAAGCACTCCCCTCCAGCCCCTTTCTCAGCAGACACACACAGTGGGGTGTCCACTGATGACACATTCAGCAGTTCTGGGCCCAGGCCCCTGGCCGCACCCGCTCTGAGGCCCCTGGGGGGAGTTTGGTCCAAGCCCTCCCAGGGGCCACCACTAGCCTGCACCTAGCACCCCTGGCTGACTGCCCCGGACCCACCCACCAGTACCTAGCAACTTCCACCTCCACAGGGGCAAGAACACAGGCTGCTCCTATGGCTGCGCGCTGGCGAGTCTACTGGGGGAGGGGCGCAGGTTTCTGCACTGAAGTTGGGTTGCCGGAGGCGAGGCGCACTAAGGCGGAGGTCTCTGTTCCCACGTGACACCTAGGAAGGGTGGAGAGAGAGAGGGCAAGTGTTGGATGCAGGGGGTGCCCCCCAGTCCTGGTGCTAGCTTGGTACAGCCCCACAGCCCCCCTTCCTGGCCCTGCTCCGCCCAGTAACCCTCTGTCACTCCTTCAGGCACTCCCTGAGCCCCTGGGAGTCAGGGCTGTGGTTCTGGGCCTGGAGCCAGTCTCCTACCGTGACAACCAGGTACTTGTTGTGTAGGCAGCTCGCAGTCAGGACCTGCAGGCCTCTGAAAGCCCTGCATGGTGCTGCTGCCTATTGGCTATGGTTCAGAGAGGGCCAATTAGTTGCCCAAGGACAGAAGCAGAACTCAAACCCAGGATCCACATGACCTAAAAAAAAAAAAAAAACATTGCTGATGAGGCCTGGCCAATCCCTCCAGGGAAGACAGGGAGCACAGAACCACCCTCCAGGCCTGTGGGTGTCTGGGAGTGGCCCAAGCCAGGGGCGGGGCAGCAACAGGCTTTAGGAATTGAACTGGCTCTCCTCCCACAGGACAAAGACAATTCTGGTGCCACAGTCTTGCATCTGGCTGCCCGCTTCGGCCACCCCGAGGTGGTAAACTGGCTCTTGCATCATGGCGGTGGGGACCCCACCGCGGCCACAGACATGGGTGCCCTGCCTATCCACTACGCTGCCGCCAAAGGAGACTTCCCCTCCCTGAGGCTTCTCGTCGGGCACTACCCTGAGTAAGATCACCCCTCTTAAGGGGTACTCTGGGTGGGCTGGGCCAGGGCTTTGGGGGATGCCTGGGATTTTCCACGCCTCTCTGACACTCCAGGACAATGATCCCTCCAGTGGCCATCCTGGGGCCAGAGGGCCAGGCCAGAGAAATGGCTTCCACTCAACATGAAATTTTCCCCTCCTGGAAAACCCTTTCTGGGGCTGTCCCCAGAGCCCTGTAAGCAGGTGCTCCCAGCATCCTCAGCTTCCCAGCCGCACGCAGCTGGGCCTGGGAGGCTGGGCACGCAGGCCAAGGTCACCTGTTCCCCTTGGGCTGCTTCTGCAGCAGAGGCTGTCTCTAGCTTAGGCTGTGTTCATTTGCAAGACTGTTCAGGACGGAGTGGGGAGCAGCAAGGGCAGGAGCGCCTCCTAGGCCCTAGTCAAACAGGCGGAAAGGGAACCCCATCAGTTACTCAAGCAGTTAAAGGAGAAAGACCCCTCCCAGACCCCCACCCCACCTCCTGGCCCCAGAACCCCTGGCTGGAGGCCATCCAGAGAGCAACTTGTTATCTCCTGTGGCCCCTCAGCCCATTCCCACTATCAAGGGAAGCATGGGGCTCCTAAACCTCCTGGGGAGTGGGCTGGGAGCTCCCCTGGGTGGGGTGGGGGGTCGTACAGAGCAGGGGGCACGTGTGAGTCTGGGGGAGGGAGGGAGGGACTCAGGTCTTAGGTGCACCTGGAGAGGCAGGCATCCTGGGGAAAGCTGCGCAGGCCCTGTCTGAGAGGGTAGGGTGCCAGATGCCACAGGGGTCTGAATGGGGAATGGGGTGCTATGACGGTTAACCCTCGTTAGTCTAAGTGGGAGCCTGAGATGTAAATGTGAATGTGGACCCAGCCTCAGGACGACAGCAGCTACGAGGTGAGAGGGTCTGGCCTGTCCCCACCACTGGTCAGTTTCTGGGTGTGCCTGCAGGGCCCCTGGCCACCAGGGAGCAGGCTGAAGGCCAGTTCTGGCCATATGACCATGTGGCAAGGTGGCTACAGCAGCTGCAGCCTCTTGGGCCCAGGCACACTGGCGTGGATGTAGGGTAGCCCTAGCACCCACCAGGCCGGCCTCCAGTGGTCCCCTTGGCCCAGGACAGGGGAGCTGGGCCTGGTTCCATCCTTACTAAGAAGGGGCTCCATGGTTTGGTCAGTGGGAGACCCAACAGGTGCTGCCCCCGGGAGGGGGCGCTTCACCACCAGCCCTGCCAGGCCTTCTTGGTGGCCGCTTTGGTATGAATTCACTGCTTCCAAACAAACTAGGGTTTGGATCATGTCAAAGTCAGTGGGATTTAAAGCAGGAGGGCCCCAGGGACCCTTGAGTAGAGGGTTCCAACTGGCTCCTGTCAGCACCTCTTGGAGGCTGTCCCAGATTCCTGAGTTAGACTCTCCATGTTGGGGCCTAGGAGCCACACCTGGGACATGTCCCCATCCTCACAGCGGTGATTCTGATGCACCTGTCCCACCCCCTCACTTCAAGCAGAGGAGAAGGACAGGTCTTGAGAGGGGCAGGTACCCCTGATGGAGGGACCAATAAGGCCCAAGTGTGAACTGGAAGACGCTGAGCCCGCCTTCTGCAAGCGCTGGTGAGGACCGCCAGTCCGAGCCTTCCTCACTGAGAAGCCAGGTCTAGGATGAGCCACGATCCCTCCGTGGGCTGGGATCCCAGGTGTTAGGAAGACTGGCTATGCTGTGGAACGCCCTCCAGGGCTCCGGGGCTGGGGGACCCTGATCCCCTTCCAGACCATGCCAGCTGCTGCGTGTGATTGGGCGCTGGTGCTGACCCAGTGGCCAGATGGCCTGGACTGATGAGCCGCCAGCCCCCCAGGAGTCACCATGAATCTCAGGGAGGTGGACAGAGGGCTTGGGCTCCGTTTCCCACAGCGGCGTGTGACTCGGCTGATAAGAAGGTGTCTTTGTGTGGTTGCCAGGCTGGGCTCATGCAGGAGGGGCAGCTGGGAACTGGGGTTGGGGGCTGGTGTACCCACTTAACCTCCTACCTTGGGAGTAGGATTCCTGCTCACGAAGGCTGTGGATATGAAGGCTGGGAGCTGGGGAGGGCAGAGGCTTGAGCTGCCCCAGGCCACAGGGCGCAATCAAGGGACCCAGGTGGCCCAGCTTCATGCTCTTGTGAGCCTCTGCGGCCTGCTGTGAATGGCTGTGAATTATTCACAAGGCTCAGCTCTCTCGCTGGCGTGTGGGTGAGTGCTGAGGGAGGAAGGCCTCCCGGACCTGCTGGTGGGAAACTCGATCCTGCCCAGGGAGGCTGTGGGTGACCATGGGAAATGGAAGTGACACACTGCAGAGGGGCTGGAAGGCTGGACAGCCTCGGGAAAGCTCAGCTAATTCCAGGGCTACACCTTGGGGTGTTATAATAGAAGGAATGCCCTGCACATCCCCCACACCTCCCTGTCTATCCCGTTCATGGGGCCAAGTCTTCCCAGAAGCAGAGGACTTGTCCCAATGACCTCAGGGGCTGCTGCCACATGGGACCCTCCCTCTGGGCCCTTGTAGAAAAGGGATCTCTCATACAAAATTAGCCGGGCGTGGTGGCACATGCCTGTAATCCCAGCTACTCAGGAGGCCGAGGCAGGAGAATCGCTTGAACCTGGCAGATGGAGGTTGCAGTGAGCCAAGATCGTGCCATTGCACTCCAGCCCGGGCAACAAGAGTGAAACTCCATCTCGAGGGGAAAAAAAAAAAAGAAAAAGTAAAGGGATCTCTCAGTTGGGAGACATGGGGCTGGCAGGAGCCGGGCTGGGCAAGTCCCAGGCCCTGGGTCTCGGGGAGATTGAGTTGGGAGGGTTGACCCTCCTGGCAGGAGCTCTAGTGGCTGATGAAGGGGCGGATTGAGGGTCCAGACCCCCAATCAGGGCAGAGTGAGGAGGGGCGAGGAGCAGGTGTCCCCAAGGCTGGTGGCCACCCTCCCAGGAGGGTCCTGGAGCCCAGGAGCTTACTCTGACCCCCTCACACCTGCTTCTGGCTGCCCCAGGGCCTGAGCAGCTGGGCGGGGCTGTGGGGGTCGGGGAGCCTGGGCTCAGCTGGGACCCTGAGGCTTGAGCTTCCAGGCTGGGCAGTGAGGAGGCTCCAGGCTCTTCCCCTGGGCTCCTGGGTGCTGCCAGTCACAGCAAGCGGGAAAACCAGTTAGCCCAGAGATTTTATCAACTTCAGCAGGTGTCTCCTTCCCCCAAAGCCTCCCCTACCCCAACCAGACTAGACTGGAGTGGGATTGGAAAGTACCTGGGGCTGGGTACGGTGGCTTACGCCTGTAAGCCCAGCACATTGGGAGGCTGAGGCGGGTGGATCACCTGAGGTCAAGAGTTCAAGACCAGCCTGACCAACATGGTGAAACCCCGTCTCCACCAAAAATACAAAAATCAGCTGGGCGTGTGGCCAGACTATGCCTGTATAGGTGGCACATGCCTGTAATCCCAGCTACTTGGAAGGCTGAGGCAGGAGGATCGCTTGAACCAGGGAGGCGGAGGTTGCAATGAGCCCAGATCATGCTATTGCACTCCAGCCTGGGCAACAGAGCAAGACTCTGGTTTAAAAAAAAAAAAAAAAAAGGAATGAACAAAAGAAAGGAAGGAAAGAAAAGAAAAAGAATCTGGTGCTGAGTATCTTCTAGGAGTCTGGCAACACCCCATGTCATCTGAGCCACACAACCACCCCTAGCAGTAGCTCTGCAGTCAGCCCATTTTACAGATGGACTCATTCAACTAAGGCTTATTGAGCATCTTCTATGTGCCAGGCAATATTCGAAATGCCAGTGATATGCTGGTGAACCAGACAAGTGTCCCCACCTCGTGGAGCTGACAGGTACAGAAATGGTGTTTCAGAGAGGCTGATCCACCAGCTGTGGTCACCCCTGGCTTGCTGTGTGGCCTTGAGCTGGCTGTACCTCCTCTCTGGGTCTCTCTCCCACTCCTGGTCCAGGTCCTAATCACTCAGGGCCTTTCAAGTCCACTGGAGACTTCCCCTTTTCCCTTCCTTTGTGCAAAGCTTCACAGAGCCTAGCTGCTCCCACGGCCCAGGGGTTCAGGAAGCCCTGACCTGGGACAGAAAGGGGGTTTCTTAGGAAGCCCCAGCAGCTCTCAGCTTAGACAGCCCCAGGGCCCAGGGCTCAACTCTCCCCCTTAGAAGGCTGGAGGCTCTGCCTGGGGTGGTCCTTTTCTGCACTAGGCCCCTGACTCTGGCACAGGCCGTGGGGGCTTGTTCCTTTTTAATCACCAGCCCCAGCTCTACCCACGGTGTCTGTCAGTTCAGCCGGTAGCAGGGTGTGGGGGCGGGGCCTGTGTCCACACTGAGGAGGTGGCTGCCGTCCTTGACCTCCTGACCCAGGTGGAGGCTCTGAGAAAGGAAGGACCTGGTGGAGTCCGGAGAAGCCCCTCACAGCAGGAGACCATCTCATGTCTCCACCAGCAGCTCCTGGTCCCAGCTGTTGTCTAACCAGGGCTAGTGTGCCTGCCCTACCCTTCCAAGGGGGAGAGCTGAGCCTTGGGCCCTGGGGCTCTGTAAGCAGCGCACTGCTGGGGCGTTCCAGGGCTTCTGAGAAACCCCCTTTCTGCCCCACGTGGGGGCTACCTGAACCTCTTGGGTTCAGATGGGCCATGGCAGCAGCCAGGCTCTGTGAGGTTGTGCACTAAGGAAGGGAAAAGGGGAGCCTAAAAGGGGAGCCAGTAAGCCTAAAAGGCCCGGGCCTTCGCCCGTCCATCTCCACCCGCAGCCTTTGAAAACACAAGTCCTGCTGGGTGCGGTGGCTCACACCTGTAATCCCAGCACTTTGGGAGGCTGAAACAGACAGAACACGAGGTCAGGAGTTCAAGACCAGCCTGGCCAATATGGAGAAACCCCGTCTCTACTAAAAAATACAAAAATTAGCTGGGTGTGGTGGCACGTGCCTATAGTCCCAGCTACTCCGGAGGCTGAAGCAGGGGAATCGCTGGAACCTGGAAGGCGGATCGAGACCATCCTGGCTAACACG